CATCTCCACTCTTCATACATTTGAAGTTTGCACTCTAAGTTTGCTTGGCTATTTTGAGATACATAATTTTGTTAAGGTTTGAATATAAAATGTCTCCTACAGGCTTGCAGGTTCAGTGCTTGTCCCCAGCTTGTGGCCCTGTCTTGGGAGGTTTTGGAAACTTTAAGAGGAGGAAGTGGGTCTTTGTGGACAGATCCCTGTAAACTAGATGGTAGTCCTGACTTGCTTCCTTCCTGTGTGTCCTTCTCAGCTTCTTGTCCACTCAAAAGGAGAAAACTCTCTCTCACCTCATGTTCCCACCCCGAAATGTTCTGTCCCACTTCATGGGACTAAGTGATCATACACTGATGTTTGATGCCTTCCACAAGAATAAACAGTTTCTGGGGACTGGAGAGTTGGCTCAGTGGTTAAGAGCACTGACTGCTCTTCCAGAGGACCCAGGTTCAATTCCCAGCACCTACAGGATAACTTACAGCCTGTGACTCTAATTCTGGGAGATCCGACACCCTCACACATACATGCATGCAGGCTAAACACCAATGCACATAAAGTAAAAGTAAATATTTTTAAATGAACAATTTTCGCCTTTAGAACAATTTTTCTAGAGTATTCTTTTAACATTCACTCAAAAGCAATGACTCTAAATACACTATAATTAATTATAACAACCCTGCTGTATGACAGATCTCAAAAATCCTAGTTTAACTGACAGGTCAAACCCCTTGATTCCCACCCCCTCCTTTGTTCCCTCCTCCTTCTCCCTCACTCTCTATCTCTGTCTTTGTCTCTTATTCCCTGCCCTTTGTCTCTCTCCTTTATGCTGAGAACAAATCTCCTTTATGCAAACAAATCTCCCTTATGCTGAGAACTTGTCTTGGGGCATCTTATGCCGATTCTGGTCCTTTCACTTGGTATACTAGAAGGAATTTTTCATGCTGGAAATAAAATTAATGAAAAAGACCAACAATGATGAGGAAAATTGTATGCGCGTGCATGCGTGCGTGCGTGTGTGTGTGTTTGTGTGTGTGTGTTTAGGTGTGTGAGTGTGCACAAATGTAAATGTGTGTGTGTGTGAGTGCTCATGAGTGCTTGCTCTTGCATTCCCATCCCAATCTGCTGAGCACAATCCCAGAACAAGCTGGAGGCTGCTACACACGAAGGCTGCAGGCCTCAGTGCAGCCAGGTGTCCCTCCCTTTCTCAGGGCATGACGCAGGGAGTGAGCCCTGTGGACACCCTCTCCTGGTACCCTGGAAGAGGCAAGCACCCTTGGCCCAGTTAACTCTCAGAGCATCTTCAACAGAACTTTCTCTGAGGACCAAGTCTGTGAGGAAGATGGTAAACTATTCCACTGGAAATGCAAATTGGCTGTATTCTTCCTCACTAATCCGGTTCAGATAAAAAACAAACAAACAAACAAACAAACAAAACAAAACAGCTCACAGCTGGAGGTAAGCAGCCACAGATCAGCCAAACCCACAGAGCTGGCAGGGCAGAAGTAGCTATAGAGTGAGACCAATTACATTCCATTGAGAGTGATTTGGGGAAGGAGTTTTTCTTCAAGAACAGAAGATGGACAGGGCACAAGAAACAAAGGCTTGTTGTCCACATACGCAGAGCAGATAGGCAAGCTGTTAAACAGGCCAGTGCTTTTGCCTTCAGATGTGGCAAAATTTGCCCCAAAGGCTACAGTTTGGTTTCATGCAAATTTGGGTCAAAGTGTTCCAGATCTTCATATTTGGACTACTGCAGGCCTCTCCAGAGACTGCCTGGATGGTAAACTGTGCACCTGTGATCCCTAAAGCTTCATTAGGTGATCAGTGAGCCACCCCCAAGAAGTACCCCCAGTGAGCCTATAGACACCTGTGTCCCTGACCCGCAACTTTTCTACCTGCCTCAAGAGTGCGGAGAGCATTTACCTGCAAATTTCATGATTTCTTTGTTTTTTATTGCTGAGTAGTATTCCATTGTGTAGATGTGCCACAATTTCTGTATACATTCCTCAACCGAGGGGCATCTGGGTTGTTTCCAGCTTCTGGCTATTACAAATAAAGCTGCTACAAACATGGTTGAGCAAATGTCCTTATTGTGTACTTGAGCATCTTTTGGATATATGCCTAGGAGTGGTATAGGTGGATCATGAGGAAGCACTACTCCTAATTGTCGGAGAAAGCACCAGATTGATTTCCAAAGTGGTTGTACAAGTTTACATTCCCACCAGCAGTGGAGTAGTGTTCCCCTTTCTGAGACTGATACTCCAACCAAGGACCATTCATGGAGATAACCTTGAATCGCTGTACAGATGTAGCTCATGGCAGTTCAATGTCCAAGTGGGTTCCATAGTAATGGAAATGGGAACAGGGACTGTCTCTGACATGAACTGATTGGCCTGTTCTTTGATTGCCTCCCCCTGAGGGGGAAGCAGCCTTACCAGGCCATAGAGGAAGACAGTGCAGCCACTCATGATGAGACCTGATAGACTAGGATCAGAAGGAAGGGGAGGAGGACCTCCCCCATCAGTGGACTTGGGGAGAGACATGGGTGGAGAAAAGGGATGGAGGGGAGGATGGGGAGGGGAGGGGGGAGGGAGCTACAGGGAGGGAGCTACAGGGAGGGTACAAAGTGAATAAACTGTAATTAATAAAAAAATAAATACAAACCAATCTAAGAAAGAAAGAAAGAAAGAGAGAAAAAAAGAAAGAAAGAAAGAGTGCAGAGATCTGTGTAAACCTGCATTCATTTCATACTGACAAAGTCTCCCTGTCTCAGTTATGTCCAGGTGATCCAGGGAGGGTTAGAATTTTTGGTGGGCCTGGGTTGGGGGGATAACACACAATTTCATGAATGACCCTATCTCCTGTCTCACTATGGAGATCTTCTGTATTCATCTGTGTTTATTCGAATGAAGTCAGATCTCTGAAATTTCTTTCCAGTGGAATACATAAACAATGTCTACCCCTCCTCCTAAGGTATAAATGACAACCAAGGCAGGAGTCAACCCAAAATTCTCTTCTGAGAACCAGTGAGGTTGTTGAGCACCATTACAGAGCACAGGGAAGAGGTTATTTATAGAGGAGTGTGGGTGCTCCTCCTCTGTGGAAAGCCTTTATCCATCAGAGATGGGGGCTTCCCTTAGCTGCACATATGAAGCCCCTCCTCATCCACAGCCCGTTTCCCCACTCCCAACCTACCCATATATTCTAGTTCTTCCCCGAGGCCATGTTCAATTGAGACAGAGTTGCATACAGCAGGTAGTAAGAAGTGGCTGGATACTCAGGCGAGAGTCTTGGGACCCTGCCCACCACTCCTGGAGAGGAAAGAAACAGCCAAAAGCCCAGCTGGATAATTGCTCTGCAAGGGAGCATAGCTGGACTTGGCAAGATGGCAGTTCCTTAGCTTGCAGGATAGTCACAACAGCAGCAACTTTGGAAAGAGAGTCTTTCCTCGCTCCACTTCTTGACTCCCATCCTGTATAAATTGCACATGCCCTGGTGCCCCATGGATTTTTGGGGAAGACCCTACTTTAAGACACCTAGTTAATGCTACTGCATGTTCTGCTGGTGGGAAGAGTACCCTTCTCCAAGATGTGTCTTGGCAATTTCTGCAGGTGTTGTAACAGTGACTGGGAACAAGGAATGCCAAATGTTTCTCACAGCATGAACACGATGATTCTGCATCAGGAAGCAGTCACATCTGGTCCATCAACTTTGACATGTTCAGTTGGACATTTCTGTGGGTAAGAAAATTGTAACATTTTGTAGCCAATAACCTAAATCGGACTCTCAAGGGAAAGCAAAATGCCTGTTACAGACTTCAGGTGATGTCTAGATTTATTAATAAAGAGAAGATGTTTACTTTCAGAGCTCAGAAAAGAGTTTCCGGCATTTTAGGGAAAGTGTGTGTTGTGGTTTGAATGAGAATGCCCTATAGGCATAGATAGATAGATAGATAGATAGATAGATAGATAGATAGATAGATAGATATAGATAAATAGATAGATAGATGATAGATAGATAGATGATAGATGATAGAAGATAGATAGATAAATATATAGATATAGATAGATAGATGATAGATAGATAGATAGATAGATAGAGATAGATGATAGAAGATAGATAGATAGATAGATAGATAGATAGATAGATAGATAGATAGGTAAACAGATAGATGAATGCTTAGTAGGATTAGGATTAGGAGGTATGGCCTTGTTGGTGGATGTGTGTCACTGGAGATAGGTTTTGAGTTTTCAAAAGCCCACACCAGGCCCAGTTTCTCTGTCTCTTTATCTCTCTGTTTATTCTATCTGTCTGTCTATCTCCATCTCTCTGTCTGTTTCTCTCTCTCTCTCTCTCTTTTCCCTCCTTCTCCTGCCTAAGTATCAGATGTAAAGTTTCCAGCTACTAGCACCAGTGCTGTGCACCCCACCATGAAGGTAATGGACTCAGTCACTGAAACTGTATGCAACCTCCCAATGAAATGCTTTAAAAAAAAAAGAGTTGCTTTGGTCGTGGTATCTCTTCACAGCAATAGAGCAATGACTAAGACAACACACTATGTTGTCTGAGCTTATATCTATAAGGCTGTCATTTAACACTAGAAAACTCAAGCACAGGGCTGAATCAGTACTTAACAACCTCTGCCTTTGTGTGTGGGGGTGTGTGCATGCATGCGTGTGTGTATGAGTGTGATCCTACACATATGTAAAACATCAATACACTTTAATGCAGTTTTATTTTGATATGGATTATTAAGATTAAATGCATATAAATTTTTAAAAATCAAGTTAAAATACTTAGCAAAAATAAATGATACTGATATATTTGAATATATGGATGAATGAATAGATGCGTAAATAAAAATTATATAATAAAAATTACGTAACCTCTTCAAATATGTGCATAGCTTTTTTTACCCTTTTATTTAATAAAATGCCATAATAAAACCTGTTGTTTCATATTTAACTGAATACTTAATCCAAAACGTATGCTTTTTTTTTCCTTGCAGCCATTAGATCACCAAAAATATGCATTTCATCTCTCAGTGGCCATGACATAGCTAAGTCCTTCAAAACTTCTGACCCTGGTGCCTTGAATATGTCCTGTTTCTCCTTCCTTTCCAGTTTACAACTTCTCCCTGGCAACTGAAGAATCATTCCTCCCGGAGTGAGGTGGTTCCAAGTGGGCGAAGTGTTTCTTGGATTGCACTTGCAGCGGATGTACAGAACTCTGTCTCTACCACGATTATAGACCTGGTATGCAGTTCTCTTACTCAGCTTATAACCTGAATTTCTTAAAACATTACTTTCAATTCTGCTTTCAGTTATCCCAAAATAAACATGTCTAAGCAAAATTTGTTTTTGGTTATAAAACTAATACATGCATATATTGCTCCTGTCAAAACGTGAATGGACCTAAAGTCCCCCTGCAAACAAACTCAACTCCTGTTGTCCCCTCTATCAGGGGAAAAAAAATATGTCTTTCCAAACCTTTGCTATATGCTCACCTAAACCCACAAACTCACCTGGACCTGTGCCTTTGCTTGTGTCTATATGTGAAAATTAAGTTTACAACCAATGTATACAGCATCAAATTAAACATCTTTATAAGTACCTGAGATGTCCTCTGTGGACCACGCCCCCAGAGGAATTGTCATGGGACTGCTGAGATGGAGCATGTTCAAACCTTGGAAATCTCAAACTTGAGTGTGGTTCTGAGTCTTCTGGAAAGCCCTCTGGACACCGAGTGGGGAAGTGCCCACTTCTCCAGCTGTAAGGCTCAATCTCCTTTGGTCTCTGGGTGGAAAAGAATGAGGCGCAGGCACCTAAGTGAGAGCAGAACGAGGTAAGCTTCACAAAATCTCTAGCTGGGGATGTGGGAAAAGGAGCTCTTTTAGCTGGGCTGCCGTCCCAACCCAGGTGGCAGTGGGGAACTCAGGGCTCTGAGACCCATTTAGGTGGTGACAGAGGCCTGACCTGCAGGTGGCCAGTCACATGAGCTTGTCACCTGTTATCTTTCCATTTCCTCAAGTCCCAAGCCCCATCCAATGAGACACATTCATCCTCAAAAACCCTCCCCACTGCCCAAGGTTTAGAAGTCCCTGTTCCACATGAAATAAAGCAGAGAGCACCATCTACTTCACTGAAGGACATCCGAGACTGGCTGTATATTCTGAGCTGTAGCACTGGTGAAAGATGGGCCTCCCCTCTTCTCAAATAATTCATCATGCTGTTGCCAAAGAACCACTGGAGCCACTGCTATGGTTCACCCGGCGGCTGCTGCAATGACAATATTCAAGAGTGAGCTGCATTCCGAAGTCTGTAAATACAGCTCAAGCAACATAAAGTACATTTTAACCAGCCCTGTAGGCCAGGAGGAGGGCTTAGTGAAATATGTGAGGTATTTTTAAAACCTACGTCACAGACGTTCAAGCGTCTTTTGGGCTCAATCATAACTGCTTACCCTCTGTCTTTGTCAACAAGTGCTTTCAACAGGCCAGCACCTCACTCCAGGCATCCTGGGACATAGATTGCCTCTTGACTCGGGAGATGACCAGTGTGGTGAGGCTGCAGGAGGTATGGCCAACAGTGAACTCTCAGAACTGAGTGTGGTATGTTCCAGAAGGAGTGGAGCATCCTTAGCAAAGGAAGTTCTGAATTCAGAAGGCACCTGGGTCATTTCCAACTACCACCCAACCTTGAAAGATGAACAAGGCATCTTTACAGAGTTCCTTCACTGAGCCAGGCATGTGAACCTATGCTACTGAGACTCTTCCTGCAGTACTCTGGCCTGGGCCCCAGCATGCCAACTCTCCTCCCAAAATGGACTATTCTGCGATGGTCCATGGATATGACTGCTGTGGACTTTTTCCTGGCTCTGTTGGCCTTCTTTCTATGTTCTAAACAGCGTCTCCTTCCTTAACTCACATCTCTTCTCTACCCTCTCTGTAGAGATGAAGCAGATGGGCTAGAGAAAGGGACCCTTCAGTGTAGTGAGAATTTTGGTTTCTTTAAAATTTATATATTATAATAATGTGTTTTTGTTTTAATCCCAGCTGTGGGGATATGAGGCTGCTTCATAGGGGCTAACTATGATTTGCCTCGTGCTCTAGCAGAGGTGTGATTTTGTGAACTACAGATAGTTTCTGCATTGTGTGATGTTTTGAATTCTGGTGACTTTTCAGAGGATAGGAAAATGCTACAGCCTGATAGGTAGGCTGTTGCTGATTGCTGGTTAAATGCTTTGGTCGCGGTGTGCTAAGCTGTAGTACACAAAGAAATAAGAAGAATTAGAAATTGAATATTCTGACTGTGAATATTAAGCTTGACCCAAGGAGCTGAGGTCGGTAATCAGTAGGAAGTAGTCTAAAGATAATGTCATTCCCTTTTCTCTCTTTTCTTTTTTTTCTCCTATCTAGTGTCAGGGGGTTGAAAGGGAAGAAGAAAAGGGCTGGAGAAGGGTGGAAGAAAAAAGAACACACAAAGTAGCAAACACCAGCTACACTTTAGTGGCTAATGCCAAACTTCTTGCTCTTCTGGAGTCCACTCAGCCCGATCTGCATGAGACTGAGGTAGGCCACATTGAAGCTTGAGTTTCCCTGAATGGCAGTGGCCATGATGACCTGGTAGCTCAAGACTGTACTCTTCTGAAGCTTTCCAGGCTACTCCCTAGCCATCCCTCCCCCATCATCCCTGGGAGTGGACAACTTCCCTAGTTCTGAGTGTCTTTTCCTTCCCCTTGGGACAGCTCACTTTTCCTTCAGGAAAGGCAGGATGCTCTCCACCCAGCAAAGCAGGGCCTCAGGAATCATCAACAGTGCTGACAGCTTTAGACTCACAGTGCATGCACGGGAGTGGACTTCATCAGACTGACCACATAATAAACTCACAGAGGGAAGAATTCTCAATCTGCACAGCAAAAGACCATTACAGAGGCTCATAGAGGCTTCCCTAAACATCTAAAGCACGCCACACAAAATAGGGTTGTTTTACATCTTGGCTTGAAGTGAGCTTTCTTGCGTTGTAGACAGCAGCTACTCTAAACACAATTTCACATATTCCAGTTTTCACTCTTTTCCTTGACATCCACAGAGATCCACCTTTACAGAAGCCTTCCAATAATCATAGAGGCTCTGTTCTTTCTTCTAAATCACTGAGGCTTTTCCACTTGGTAGTGCTGGGTATGGAACCCAGGGCCTAGCACACAGACAAGTGCTCTATTCCTCAGCCACATACCCACCCTCTATGTAATTTCTGGTTTTATTACATCTTCCCCCTCACCTTGTTCTTTCCAGGGATTAGACTTTCTCTGGAGAGCCCCAGTGCTTAATCTCACCCTTTCTAAATTCTCCAAGGATATTTTTTTTACATCTACCCAATGTTTAATTTATGTTCTTTAATTATGTTCTTCAACTGTGTGGTCCTAACTAGTGCATCTGGTTCTCTGTGGACAATATGTTCTTCATTCAGGCAGATGGCTTTAGACTCACAGGATTATTACAGTGGATGCATAGAAATGGATCTCATCAGACTGACATTTTAATAAACTCACAGGGGCAAGCATTCTCAATCTGTACAACAAAGACCATTTCAGGAAAGACAAACAGTTGGACTGTGCACTGGTTTTGATTGTGCCACTTAACAAAAAGATAACCAATAACAGAACTGCTACTAACAGCTCAAACAAAAGCAGTATGTATCATATGAGCAGCATAAGAGAAATGAGAATTCACCAATGGAATACTGAGAATAAAAAAGTGATAACAACAGCACAAATGATGAACGGACTCCCAGGAACAGGTGCAAATGCCTGCGAAGAGGAGCCCCAGCTGGGGTAGGGGTGGGCTGACTATAGGAGCAGCAGGAGCCAGAAACATCCCTGGTTGGTAAGAGACTCAAAGGTCAGCATCTAACACATTGTTAAGTGGCACAATCAAAATCAGTGCACAGTCCAACTGGTAACTGTAGCCTTGGAATGAAGGGGGGGTGCGACTTGCCTGCTAAGTACAGTACACACCTACACACCGCTTGTTTTGTTAAACAAAGTACCTTTCAAAGGCATTCATGGAAAGATGACAGAGGAGCACTCGGCAGATATGACGTGGTGCATGATACATTGCCATAGGCTCCTGATGGCACAGGCGTGCATGCTTACATTCTTACCTATCAGAATACAGGCTGGAGGACAAATATGGTACATTTGAGGTTTACTTCAACGTTACCCCGAGGGGCTCAGAGACACTGAGGGCGCAGGTCACGGACAGCTACAGGAGAGCACAATTTCACTTTGTCCTAAGTTTTCCATGGTAGATGATCTTTTATTTTGTCCAATGAAAACACTATATGAGCACAGCATTTAGGAAATAATGTCAAGAAAAATGTCTCTGTGCCCTGAGTTCAGATCACCCCTCCTATGTAAGTCCCCTTTGATGATTTTTTTTGAAATTGAACTTAGCATTTGGCAAAACCAGAAGGGAAAAACGAGATTTGGGATACATTTCTATTTTAAGACAGAGCTTGTTTTTGCCTCATCTTGTGAGGCGTGCAGCGGTGTGAGTGTGTGAAACAATGCCAAGGTATCCTACCCCTGCCCTTCCTCCTCCCAGCACATGGGATAATCCCACAGGGCCAGGAGAGAATAGACTGACACCCCCTCCTTGAAGGAAGACATTTGCTAGCGTAGCACATCCCTGACCTGGCTGAAAGCCTCCATCCTAGGGCTGTAACTACGGAAGTCTTCCTCCTGCCAACGCCCTGGAATTGTTATGGATGGATGTTAGCTCATCCCAGCCTCCACCCAGGCTTTCCTGGGTCTTCAAGAAGAGGTCCAAGTATACTATTAACTCTATGGCTTCCCCCCTCTGTGAATGTCTCCACAGCTTGGATCTTTGCACTATGCTATTTCCAGATAGCTTTGTTAGCAGGGATGTTGTAGGCCTGAGTGTCCGGTGCAGCTGCAAGCATAGACTTCAGGTTTCTGACGGGGGTTCTAGGCCATGGTGTTTGGAAACAACAGTGTGAAGACTTCCCGAGTATGTCAGCATATAGAAAACCCAGAAGAGACCCAGTTGAAGTGAAATGTAACAGCTCAACAGCTTTACTTCTGAACATTTGGTAGCACAAGCAATTTTCAGGGAACACCACAAAACATCATCACATTGTCTTCTGAATCCCCCTGAGAGGATGCTGTCCAGAGCCTATCCTTGAAGCAGTGTTCTGGAGTAGGGTTTGGATCAGGTTCAGGAGCTGTGAACCCTTGAGGTCACATTTTGAGCCTGCTCTGTGGAATGTGCAGCCATGAGGCTCACAGAGTGGCTCA